CAAAAAAAAAAACCCCCAAAAAAAAAAAAAAAAAAAAACCTTCAGGAGAGGGGGCCAGCAGGTGGCGTGGAGGTTAAGGGCACTGGCCTTCCACATGGCTGACCTGGCAGCTTGCTTTCTCACTTTCTCTTTCTGTTCCACTCTGGTAAAATTAAAATAAATAAAATAATTTTTTTAAAAGACCCTCAGAAGAAAGATCTCCTTTAGCCTTAATCAGATTGAACCTGCAAAGGGGTGAGATGGCATGGTGGTTAAAGTGCTAGACACTCCCTCCCACATGGCTGGCCCTGGTTCAAGTCCTGGACCTGGTGGCTTGCTTTCTCACTTTCCTTCTCTCACTGTCTCTCTGGTCATATTAATAACAAATTAATGAATAAGTAAAATAAAATAATTTTTTAAAAATTATTTTGTATTTCCTAGAGAGCATGTGGACTCATGAGACAACAGGAAAGTGAGAAACCACCCCCATGGGGGATGGTCAGACCACAATCCCTCACCCAGCTCCCCCTTTTGGGATTTTGGGCTGAATGCATATGCACCAGGCATGGATTTGTTTTTTTCAAGCCACTGGGTCCAGAACTCGAACCTCACAGCCAGCCATGTGAGGTCCAGCCCCCTTAACCACCATGCCTCTGGCTGGCCGGACTGTTAAGTCTAAGAGAATGAAGCTAGAACTCATAGGCAATGAAACTAGCATTCAAGCGAAACAACAGAAAAGGCGTCCCCACAACCTGTAAACATCTAAACTGACCAGACACTGCTTCTAGAGAAGTACTAAAATATATGCCTTAGCAAAATAAAAAATGAACCCAAGAGTAAAACAGATGCCAGCAAAGAGAGCTGGTCAGACTGGGAAAGAGGACGGCCTGAGAAGTCGGGGGGGGGGGGGGCATCAAAGGAGTGCCCTGACAGCCTCCTGTGGCCTGGTTGGAGGAGTCTCAGCTAGGAAACGGTTAAAAATCACAGTTTCCATCAGAAACATAAAATAGGATTTACAGCTTTCAAAACAGCAGAGAAAAAAGTGAAATGAAAAAACCTTGGCAGCACCAAGAACAAGTAAGAAGAAAACAGAGATAAAAGCATAAGTAAGGGCCATAAACGAGGTGGTGGGAGTGAGTGCCCACTTCTGAGTAGTTGAGAAATGCGATTGAATTAAATGCATCTATGAAAAGACAGAGCCTCTCAGATTAGAATGTAAATATTGTTAAATACTATTGCAAGAAATATGCTTGAAAAATGACAGACTAAAAATAAAAGGATGGAAAATGTGACTTTTTTTGTTCCTCAAGAGTCCATAGAGAGAATAAAAGATGAGGAACCAGCAGTTAGCGTAATGGCTATGTCACTGGACTCCCACGTAGTTGACCGCGGTTCGCATCCCGGACCTGGTGGCTTAAACTCACGCCGGGCGCGTGTGCGTGCGTGCCCAAGATCCCGAGAAGAGAATGGAGGAGAAGAGATTGTGGCGTGGCCATCCCCACTGGGGGGTGATTTCTCGCTTTCTATCTCTCTGTCTCTGTCTGTCGGTCTGTCTGTCTGGCAAGCGCACGCACCCTATAACAAAAACCTCTCCAAAAAAAAAGAGAATAAAAAAGATGAAAAGCCAGGAGATATCTGCAACATGCCTGTCTTGCAAATGAGTGCCAGCCCCCAGGAGACATAAAGACCCCTTCTGATCCATTGGAAAAAGACAGGTCAAGGGATCAGCAGTTAGCGTAATGGCTATGTCCCTGGACTCCCATGTAGTCGACCGCAGTTCAAGTCCCGGATCTGGAGGCTTAAACTCACGCTGGGCGCATGTGCGTGTGTGCCCAAGATCCCGAGAGAATGGAGGAGAAGGGATTGTGGTGTGGCCATCCCCCCTGGGGGGTGATTTCTCGCTTTCTGTCTCTCCATGGGTGTGCATGCCCAAAATCCGGAGAGGAGGATGGAGGACAAGGGATTGTAGTGTGGCCATCCTCCCCAGGGGTGGTTTCTCACTTTGTCTCTGTCTCTATGGTGAGCACACACACCCTATAGCAAAAATCTCTCTCTTAAGAAAAGAATGGGACCAGAGGATGACGTAATGGTTGTGTTGCTGGATACCCACTAAACCAGGCAGTTTAAGACTCATGCCAGGCACATGTGTGTACATGCCCAAAATCCTGAGAGGAGAAAGGAGAAGAAGGAATGGCAGTGTGACCATTCCCATCCCCCCGGGGAGTAATTTCTCTCCCCCTTACCCCCCATGAGTGCACATGCCCTATAGCAAAAAAATTATCTCTAAAAAAAAAAATAACATAAAGCAGCATTGTTTCTCAAAGCAAAGAAGATACTGGGGAAAACCCTCGATTGTCCACAGACAAGGAAACGGATCAATACCACGAGTCCCATGCAGTAGGGAAGCTCACAGCAATGAAGAGGAGCGAGTCGCACCAGCTGAAGGCAGGTGGATGAGTCTTTTTTTTTTTTTTGGAGAGGTTTTTGCTACAGGGTGCGTGCACTTGCCAGAGAGACAGAGACAGAAAGTGAGAAATCACCCCCCAGGGGGGATGGCCATGCCGCAATCCCTTCTCCTCCATTCTCCTCTCAGGATCTTGGGCACGCACACACATGCGCCCGGCGTGAGTTTAAGCCACTGGGTCTGGGACTCGAACTGTGTTCGACTACTTGGGAGTCTAGCGACATAGCCATTACACCAACTGCTGGTCCGATGGTGGCTGAGTCCTGAGCACATGGTGCGGAGTGGAAGAGACAAGTGGCCGAAGACTGTAAAGCGGAGTTCCGTTTACACTCGGCAGAGACAGGAAGTGGGTAAGCATGGACGTCCACCTGCCCCCACTTCTTTTTTGATATCCGTTCATAATCTTGACTTTGTGCTGCCACCTCCACTTCCAGTCAAACCTGGAGTTCACTCTGTCCTTTCTCCTTCTGTCAGTGAGAAACTTGCATTCACCCACAGAGCAACCCCAGAAGTAACCTCTCCAGGCTTTACCCAACATGCATTCCTTTTGTCCAGCATGCATTCTGCGTCCCACTTGAACTGTGTGGTTCAGGTCCCAAACCTGGTGCCTTAACCCACATGCTGGGATGTGGTGTACATGCCCAACATCTCAAAAGGAAGACGAGAAAGTATCGCGGCGTGCCCGTCTCTCATGGGAGGGCGGGGGACCAGCAGTTGGTGTAATGGCTATGTTCCTGAACTCCCATGTAGTCGACCACGGTTCGAGTCCCGGACCCGGTGGCTTAAACTCACGCCAGGCATGTGTGCATGTGTGCCCAAGATCCCAAGAGGAGAATGGAGGAGAAGGGATTGTGGCGTGGCCATCCCCTCTGGGGGGTGATTTCTCACTTTCTGTCTTTCTGTCTTTCTGTCTCTCTCTCTCTTTCTGACAAGCGCACGCACCCTATAGCAAAAACCTATCCCCCCCCAAAAAAAAGTAAAAGAAAAAAAAAACTTTCCCCTCCTTCCAGCTTTCTGAGCCAGCCTCCCCACCACCTGGTTTCCTTAGTCAGGATCTAAGAACGGCTGACACACCCACTCATTCAGACGATTTACTCTCTCAGCTCTCACTCAGCCTTTTGAAAGGGTGCTCTGACAGCTCCTGGGTCTGCCGCCGCCTCACATCTCCAGAGTGTCCAGCCTAATGCGTCTGACGCTCGGCTCCTTGCCTGTCCTCAGACTCCTCTGCTGTCTTTCTCCTCGGTCACAACTGAATCGTGTCTCCCAAAAGTTATGCTCATGCTTACAGCACACGTCCTAAAACTGGAACGATAGGGAGATGAGCATGGCTCCTGTGCAAGAACGACACTCAAATTTGTGAAGCGCTCCATATTTGAAGAAGTGCTGAGGGAAGTCAGGCCGGCAGTTGGCATGGTGGCTAAGGGCGCTGGACTTCCACATGGCTGACCATGTTCCGAGTCCTGGCCCTGCTGGCTTGTTTTCTAACTTTCTCTCTCTCTCTTGCTCTGAACCTCTCTGGTCAAATTAAAGTAAATAAATGAAGTTAAATGAAATAACTATTTTTGAAAAAGAAGAAGTACTGAGGGAAGTATTATGTCGGGAAAGCTAAAGAAAGATAAACAGAAATAAGAAAACAACTAGCTGAGAGGGACCAGCAGGACACTCCCACATGGTCAACTGCGGTTCAAGTCCCGGACCTGGCGGCTCACTTTCTCACTTTCTCTCTCTCTCTCTCTCTCTGGTCAAATGAAAATAAACTAATGAATAAATAAAATAAAATAAATAATTATATTTTAAAAATAGCTGAGAAAATGGCTAACCAGAAAGATGTGCTGCAGTCCTAGGTCACAATACCCGCGAATGTGACCTTATTTGGAAATAGGGTCTTTGTATGTGTAATCTACTTAAGTGGAGCAGCCCTAAACCAATGACTACTGCTTGCTATTTATTTACTTATTTATTTTATATTTACCAGAGGGCACGTGTGCTCATAGGAGACAGACAGAAAGAGAGGGAGGAAGGGAGAGAGGGAGGGAGAGAGGGAGCGAGGATGTAGGAAGCACCCAAGGGAGAATGGTCATGTCACGGTCACAGGCCTCCTCTTCCACTCGTCCCTCCTTCCAGGATTTGGGGTATGCATGCACATGTGCTGGGGGCTTCTCAAGCTGCCAGGTCCAGGACTTGAACCATGCAGCCAACCATGTGGGATCAAGCGGCCTTAATCACCATGTGGTTAAGGATGACCTGATTAGTGTTTTTACAAGAAAAGGGAAATTTGGACAGAGACGCACACGGGGAGGACAGCTGCATGATGATGGAGACAGAGATGGAAGGGGTGCAG